AGGGATGTGTGGAGCTATTTTAGGGGGAGCGGCTGAAGACAAACCCTGGGAGATATGAACCTTGCTTCTTTGGCATCACCTCATGCTGAATTGGGGCTTGCACTGTGAGAGAGAGAGATCAGGGAAGCAGCGGGAGTCTAAATCATCTTAGGGGAAAGAAAAAGTCGATAGTAATGTCCCAGGAAGGCAGAAACCAGGAGGCTGCTCACGAGTCAGTCTTCCTCATCCATCCATCTCCTGTCTATTCTGCTTCACCCGTTCACACGACTTCAGCTGCTCAAAGACGAAGCAGCAGGAGTTATGAACTACCTGGTCTGCTATTCCTCAGATTTCACACTTCAATTTCACAATTCCAGCAAAAACTTGCACAACAATTACATCATTGTTACAAACACAGCCTGTCCTGCTGCTCATCACGTTCTCCACTCACACTCCATCCGGAGCAGACTTCAGAGCAGCACAGGTTCACAGGAATGAATCAGAGGTGTCAGCTCGTAGAAGAAAAGCTGCACCACAATCTATATGCACCTCACCAGAAATCTATATGCGGCACTTACATCTTCAGCGCCAACACGGCTGACAGATTAAGTGCTCCGAATAGTCACTGATGTTTGACAACGACGGGCTGAGGTGGATGCAAATGGGGAGCTATAAATAGAAGTAGCGCTGGAGCTTCATCCAGTATGTAACACGGTCCTGAACCTCCTATCAGAGGAACCAGAAATATCTCCCACACTTGTAGATAAGGTACAAAACATAGAGCGAGGCATTCACCCACATGGCGCTGATTCCCAGGTGATGAGATTTCATTGTCCTCAGGTTCACAGAGCTAATAGGACCCACTGGTGGCTCACCTTCACCACTGAAGGAGGATCAGCGCTGCATGGTAGTGACTGGCTCACTGACGTAACATCTCCAGCCTGCCAGCTACGTACAGCTCACTACAGCGACAGGAGCTTCAGCGTGTTCATACAATGTTTGCATGGAAACCATCAGATAGATCAGATTTATTCTGACATTAGGAAAAAACTAAAAACATTTCTGACAGTTCTTCTGCTCTGTTCTACACAGAATTCTCTTCAGGCTTGACCCCAGATCTTCTACAGCCACAGAGGAGCTGATCCTGTATCTGCTCAGAGTCAAAGCTCTGTCTTAAATATTCATCCATCCATCATGTGAACAGCGCTTCATCCTCACTGGGGTCGAGGAGGCTGGAGCCCGCTGAAATATCTGGTCACTTAAAAACACTGAACAGATGTTTTCTAAATGTTGACAGAGTACAATGAGCCACGATGAACGCTGTCATCTGAATCAATTAATAAAGAATGAAGCGCTTTTGCAGTAACGACCAATGTGGATCTGACTCGTGATGAATTCACGTATCTAAGCCGACTTCCTGTTGTCTCATGTCCAGTGCATCCAGCGGTTCATGTTAACTATGTTGCTGTCCTGTCTGCTTGTCCTCACAAAACCCAACAGCCAAGCTCAGATGTGCTGGTGGAGCTTAGAGAGGAGACCGGCCTCCAGAGCAGCTCTGTTAGAAGGTCCCTGAGTAGGTGGGATCTCAAATGTAATTGGATAGTAGATGTGTCGTGATTGGCCAGTTCATACTGGGAACACCAGCCCTTCCCTCGTCCTGTACTGGGAGAGCAGCACTCAGTGGTTGGTGTGGACGGCAGCATGGTGCAGCGCCGCTAACCGCTGGGTGCAGTTGGGGAAAGCTTCTGTTGTTTCTGTTTCTGAGAGTTGCTGATGTGAAGCACTGTGAGAGGACGGAGGTTGTGAACGGTGCTGTATAAATATAATTGACTTGACTTGTCCTTTCCAACAGCTCACACCAGATCATAGGTGTTTGAAACGTAGTGTGTCTACAGAGACGGACACGGAGCAGCCGCTGGCCTTCAGCCTTCGTCCGTCAGGTGAGAAACTGACTTTATAATGAGCTGTTTCAATCACTTCAGCTTATTATGATCCACAGATTCAACTTCCAATGAAAGAGCGTTGTTGTGTGTTGTCTACCACATGCCTACAGGCTGAGGAGAGCAGCGTGGGTTTGACTGAACAAGAGGGGCACACACACATTTACATAATTTACATTAAAAATGATTTGACTCAATAAATCCTTCATCTACAAGAACAAGCCAACCAACAAATGGATCATCTGCTGATTTAGTGCATGAAGATCTGGAGGACGTGAACATACAGCGGTGTCTGGCGTTATGCAGCAGTGCTGAACGGTGCTCACGCTGTGCTCACCACTTCCTAAGATGCCTCTGGTGAATGATTTTGGGTTTTTCCTGGAAGACTGGTCAGAACTATTCTGTAGCAAAGTGTTGGCCGGCTCACCTGCATCGCTATCTCTGAACGCAAGATATACAGAAGAGCCAAATCCCTCCCAAAGACCAAATGAGTTTCCATTAAATGCATTAGACTGAATAAACTGAGACTGTGTCGTCAGAAGACGGTGTGATAGACTATCATACTCATGGCTGTAACAAACACAGGAGTAGAAGCCAGAAGCAAAACCAGACATTTGGTCACTGCTAAGAACCCTGAAGAGGAAGAAGAAGCAAACACAACTCTACAATAAATAAATAAAATAAAATGGAGAGAAGTCATCTGGACTCGTTTGTAATCCAGAAAGGTCGAGTCAGGATGGAACAAGTCTGATCCACTGGTGCGTCCGGTACCACCAGGTATCTGAGCTGTTCTCATGACACTGGACCAATGGAGGACGTATGAGGCATGGCTGCTCATATTTTGGCTCTTTGGTACCGGAGGGCCTACACCCCCACTGGTGCTCATCATCTGTCTCAGCTTGGCTGCCAGACTGTTCTGTCGGCTCCCTGTATCAGACTGGCCTCTGGTTGGGGGCGCTGTGCACCAACAGTTCATTACATTAATGAAGTGTCTATCAGCTTGGCAGTAAACATGACTCCATGTTTCTGGGGTCTTCTGCATTTCTACATGCTGCTGAATATCTTAACCTGAACACGGGTCAAGTAAAATGTTTGTATTCTGAATAGCATCAGCCCATTCTGATGCAAATGCTAAAAACTATTTTAGGATATCAATACCATAGCAACAATAGCTCCTCATACTGCAGTGAGAGTGCATGCACAGTGAAATGGGAGTTTTTAGTAGATGTATGGAATCAGTTTGTCCAGCACACTGTCTTCTGTCAAAGCACAAACTCCTTCCAAACTTTTAGTCATTTTAAGTAAAAAAGGAGGTAAATGTAAAGGTGTTAATATACCCAACGCACTGCATACGTCGACGCAACACAGGCAGAGTGAACAGGCACCGACCCGTCCTGGGTCCATGCAGACATACAAATACTGGGACATGAGTGTCCTTCTGCCTGTGGTTCTAACTAACGGTACACTGAGCGCTTCCACAAACATGCCATAGGCAACTATCTCTGAACCCAGCTGGCTTTTAGTCAGTTGGTATAAGTTTGTGTTCATGCTGACCTCCACCCACAGTGGCTCCATCTTCGCTGCTTTGCTTTCTGTTCCTAGTGAGAAGTCATGTGCTCTGGAGCAAGTATCTGACCACGTCATCTATCCCATCAAACACATAGTTAACAAAGAGCTGAAAAAAGCAGACGTAGTGATGTACAATACATCCGCTTTGTAGTGAGCTCATGTTTCAGAGGTGGACTGATAACATAAACCTGCAGCTTGTTGTTTCCACAGCGACCCTGGATTTCCATACAGAACGCATTCTGCAGGTATACAGGTCTCTATTTTCATCAGACAACGGGTATGTTTAAGTAGGAGCTGTTTTTACCTTTGACGTGTTTCGACTGTCACTTCAGTCTTCCTCAGAAACGTCACTGACGTCTGTGCTGACGTGTCTTTACCAGCTGCTGGTTTCCTGGAGGAGGCGTGACCCGCCTGGCGAGGCCACGCCTCCTCCTGCCGCCTGGTGGTCTCTGCAGGAGAGCGTCCCATGTGTGGGACAGCATGATGCCCCCTCATCACGGTCCACGTGATCTCGTTCATGGTTCATGATGACCATCGCATCAGAGAGCAGCAAATTCAAACGCTGCATCAAGGAGGCCACAGAAGTCAGGAGGCGAGCCCGAGAGAGAAGAAGTGCAAACGGTACCAACGTAAACTAAGGAGGAGGAAGAGAGAAGGGATCCATGCTAGGCTAAAGGCTAACTCCTCCAGATGATCCTGAAGAAAGGCTCCCTCATCCTGTCTGTACAGCACCATGACTATAAACCTGACTCGATTTGAGTCGGCAGATGTTTTCTCTTTTTGTGGTAAACTTCTGTCTACTTGTGCTTGTTTCATCTCTCACTGCAGTAAATCTGTCTTTGCGTTCATTTATGCCCATCTGCAGTGCTTTTGTGTCTGTTGGTAGTTTGAAGTCTTCATGTGTGTCTTTGCAATCATTTGCATCTCGTTGTGTTTAGTTTTGTTGGTTAATGTCTCTTATGATTAACCAGGTTGTTCTGACACCTTTTTCAGCCTCGTTTTCTTTTTTCATGGTCTTTTGTATCTAATAACATCCATCCATCATCTCTTCACCTTAATCCTCACCAGGGTCATGGGGGGCGGAGCCTATCCCAGCTGACTCAGGGTGAAGGCAGGTTCACCTGGACAGGTAACCAGTCTATCACAGCTGACTCAGGTGAAGGCGCATCTAATTCCAGTTGTTGTGTTTTACGTTGCAGTAATTGTCTAATTCTTTGTAGTATCTCTCTGAGCTCATTTTGCATCCCTTGCTAGTTGGTTCTGCATTTGTTTGCAGTCATTTGGTCATTCAGTAACGCCTCCTCTGACAAATCTGGCACCAATGAAAGCAAAAAATAAAATAACACTATTCAGCCTCACATCTTTACATCTGATTCATGTGTTCTTTACAAAAACTCACCAATCCACATGTGCACCATGTAGGTGAAGACCAGTGGGAGTACATCACTGCCTCATAGGTCTGATCATTATTCTGAACAGCTTGAATAATGCATGATGCCTGATGCTACTCACCGTTGACGGTTAGATGCACCCAGCTGCCGTTGTGGAAGGTGTCATACTGCTGCTCCAGCATCAGCACCTTACACTCGTACCAGCCCTGGTCGTCTGAACGCACATTCTCTATCCGCAGGGAGGACTTGCCGTGTAGGCTGGCCCGGCCTGGTCCAGGGAGACGGGGCGTCAGCAGGAAGGGACACAGGGAGGTGAGAAGGACGGGAGGATTGAATTTAATGAAGGAAATGAAGGGAAGGAAAGAACAGGTGAGAGGTGAATGAACAAAGAGGTGAGAGAAGAGAAACACCAGATGAATGTTAAAGAGAAGATCAACCTTTGAACAGTTCAGATATAAATAGGCAGGGATCACAGAGTACACTGTGCTGTGTTAGCGGAGGCGTCTCAGGGTAACATCACAGTGCATCAGACCCGTCTCCAGACAAACACACTGCAGCACACTGAACCTGCAGCACAGCATCAAAGCAGGACAGCAACTGCAGTTGGATATGTGCAGCAAAACCTGTCAATCAGGCGTCTGTCCGCATCTCCATGTGTAGCGTCTATTTTGGAGATGCACTGAGGCAAGGACAGGTCATTACCTCCTCTGAGGAGTGGGACGATACGACAACACAAGAGCAGGAGTCACAATCCATCATAACAGATATCGGCTTTTCACTGGGGTTAGGAACGGCTGCGTTTTACTTTTACAGATCAAAAGCTAAAGAGGACAGGAATTATGATGTTGGCAACTGGACCATAGCAGATGGCCACTGGCAATAAGGGCTGAACAAAGGGCTTTCAGGGAGCACTGGGCGGCTCAAAACATCCGCATTATCAAAGCCCGGCTCTCCCTCATTAATCCCCTCCGTCTCCCCTGTCCTCCACATTGTGGGTATTCCTCACTAGTTTATGTTTGCACTCCTAAATTCCCTCTGCAGCATGACACACCAGCAAAACACATCAGCTGCATTGGAGGCTGTCTCAGTGAGTTAAGGTACTGATGTTTGTTCCCTGTGTGTGTGTGTGTGTGTGTGTGTGTGTCCTGGTTAGGCTATTTATATATCAGATTATATTTGTCCAGCTTCCAACCATGTCTGTCTCCTCTCCTGGCTGGAAGGAACCGAGGAGGAGACTCCATGTCGGTTACTGAGTGTGAAGGATGCATGTCAGGCTGCACACAGGAACGGTTCCTCACTGCTCCTCTGTTTGTTCCAGCAGCGCCTGCCCTTGGAGTCCAGTCCCATTTCTTTTTGTCTAAGAGTGAACCGCCTGCAACAGTTTGCAGGATGTCCTTCTTTAAACTGATGTATTCAAGCATGAAAGGTTATGAAGGAAAAACCAAGCATGAGTGTGTTTGTATGAACACAGGAAACGTTTCCGCCCTCTGCAGTCTGAGAACCATCTCGTGAATGGTTCTGTAAATGGTTCTGTAAATGGTTCTGTAAATTTACATGCACAGAAAAGTCCATTTAAAACACAAGACAATGACAGTCTTTGTATTTACAGAGCAGTTGAAGTCCAACAGCCACACCATTAAAGCCCCTGTCTGTATGTGACCTCGGGCCCTTCATGCCACCAAAACAGCTCTGAACCTCCAGAACCCGACCGCTCAGTCACGTGGTGTCTGGAACCGGGTCTGGAACAACATTTAGACGCGTACTACTTGTCAGGAACATCCACATGAATATCATGGCTTACAAAACACACCTTCACCTTCAAGGTCGCAAAGTAAAGTCCACATGGATCAGGACCAGGGTTTCCAGGAGAACACGGTCCAGAGCCGTTTGCCCTCTTCCTGTACTGCTGCCATCTCTTCCCAGGTTACTGAAACCCGCTCATCCACATGATTCAGCGTGACCAGGCCACCTTCTTCCATTATGGTCCAGTTCTGATGCTCATGTGTCCGGTATCGGGGTTTTCAGCAGTGGTCAGAACGGGCCCTGTGACCGTCCCCAACGCACCTTCAGCCTCAGTAGCTCTTCTGTGTCCAGTGTTTGCTCCCTCCACCTATAAATGATGTGTGAACAGAGCTCAGACTCCCCACACGCTGCTCAGCGGCTGTCTTTGGGTGTCTTTGAATGACTTTGATAGGTACTAATCACTGTGTCAAAGATGTTCTGACCCAATTGTCCAGCCGTCATGGCTCTTGTCAGAGTTGCTCACATCCTCATACCGTCCATTATTCTGGCTTCCAACACATTAGCTTGAGAACTGATCGTCCACTTGCTGCCGTTTAGATATCGCAGCGCCTGACAGGCGCCATTGCAGCAGCATGATCAGTGTTATTCACCTGTCAGCGGTTTGCACTGCTCTGATTGGTTGGTAAATGCATGTAAAGTGCAGAGCTTTGATGGCAGACCAGGCAGCGCAGCACGATGGACGAAGACAAAACACACATTTGCTTTCAATGTGGAGGCTCTGCTAGAAAAGTTCCTCACTTTGACCAACAAGCGAAAGAACTTGTCCCGTGTGACGACGGTTACTGCCACACTGGTAGAGAAACGGACAAGAATAACAGGAATGTTGTTTCACACACAGTCTGTTACAAAACAGCAGAGTGAAGTCCAGGATGAGCTTCATACTAGTGCTACATGGCGTGTGTGTGCAGGACATCAGTGCAGCAGCAGTTGACAGGAATCCCCACCGTAAAACAGTAAAGGAGAGTAAAGCTGGCGTACAGATGGCTGCAGCCTGGCTGAACGCAGCATATTCTCATCAAACCGTCTGTGTGCCAGCCTTTTAGATCTGATGCATGGATGATGTCATCGCAGAGCAATCCGGTCCTCACAGATTCTCTCACAAGCAAGTGGAAACCTCCGTACGGTCCGATCCAGAGCCACAGAACCAGCCCTCCATGTTTAACTAAAGCTAAACCCTGCACAGAAACCCACTCAGCTCCAGATATACGTGAACAACATGCTGCTATTAGTCCCTGAAAAGGAATTTCCTTTTTAAATCCACTGACTGCACTCAGTCCACTGGTCAGGTGATTTGTTGGACAAACACAAATGCTCTCACAAAGGAGGAGCCCTGATGTTTCATGGACCAGCTCTCCTCTGTAGTCCATCACTGCACATCACTGCACATGACCACCAACAGAAATGTGTTCACGAGTCATCAATCAGAAACTGTAGAGATATTCCTAAAAGCCAAACTATGATGTGTTTGTTTTGTTTACTGTTTAATGTCATGAACTATCCATCCCATCACTCCTCCTGGAAACACTTCTGCTGTAGGAGGTCCTACCTGAAGCACATTTCTGGATCTGGTTGTGTTTTCTGTGTAGCAGCATGTCTCTCTACATGAGGGGAGAAGTCACTGAAGGGCTCTGGTGGGGTTTAGGAGATCCTCGACACGCTCCCGGCTCTTGTTTTGTATCCGTACTTCATTAACTGCTCTCAGCAGCAATTATGTCATTACCACACACAAAGCCCAGTGTGGGCAAACCTCATGAAAGCCATCTCCTTCACTGGTGACTTCAGAAGCATGTAACACTGATGAATCATTTCAAACAGCAAAGCAAAGAACATGTACCTGTGCAAACTAACATGAGGGATGTTCCTGTTTGGGAGAGACCCGCTGCTGCAGATATGCAAATGATCAGACAAGAAAAGTGATTCCCTGAACGACGATGCACTGAATAGTCATCAGCAGACAGATTGGGGATGAGTCATATCTGAGGAGGTCTCACACCTACTGGAGGGGATCCCGACCATTATCAGACCCAGGCATGGCAGCCCAGCCAAATGAACTAGGAAGAAAAACATGGTGGCTGCTCCCTGCTGCTACAGTTAGGAAGCTTTTCATTATAACATCAGGAAAACAGAGCCTTTGCTTTGCATGTGGACCTGTGAGCACCAGAACCATTCAACCACAGAACCTCCACAAAGCGTGCATGAACCCCGTACTGAGGCTGAAGCAGCTGATCTCAGGTAATGCTTTTTAACCATATATTGAATTCTGAACAGCACAAAGCTGTCTGCTACACTCTGTCCTGTCTCAGTCCCAGCTCACGTACAGCAGGTCACTGTTTGGGTCCAGTTCCTTCACAGTTCCAGCTGCGAGGTCCAAACCACGAGAAAAACACCACCTGACAATAAAACAACAGTGAAACACATGTATTCCTGGAGGTGCTCAGAAAAGTAGTATTTACCAGCCAGACGTCTGACATGTTGACCAAGTCACTCACATTGTGACAGTCACTGTAAATAATAGACGTGTTTCATCGACATCACACAGCTCTTCTAGAAACTAAACTAGTGCAACGTTCATTATACATGATGTTAAATAAGGATTCCAGAGGACAGAAATGCTCGTGTTTAAAATGTTGTCAGACTTCTCCTCGTTTTGCAGTCGCTGGATGAAATCATTCAAACCTCTTTTTAAGGATATAAAACAGTTCAAAGGAACAAGAAAAATAATGCAACTGCTTCAAAACGCCTTAAATCAGGTACAGACAGAGAGCTGAGCGTCTCTTCATTCCTACGTGACAAACTACTACAGAAGATGGACTTACACACACTGAGCAGTGAAGGCGTCGTGGACCAACCGGGTCCATTCAGCAGCGTAAACCAGAACCAGTGCTGCTGGCAAATCATGTTCAGTACAGAGCATCCCTGACCGTGACCGTGTGTTGGTTCTCCACACGTCATCAAACATTACTTATTCCAGCTTTCACTTCATATCATCCTCTCTGGCAAAACTAAGAGAAAACGTAACTCACAACGTAATCACAGGTCTGTTCAGTTCACACTTAGAATATACAGAATATAGAGGAAGCATCCATCCATCCATCCATCCATTATTTATCCACCGCTTAATCCTCACCAGGGTCATGGGGGCGGAGTCTATCCCAGCTGACTCAGGGTGAAGGCAGGTTCACCTGGACAGGTAACCAGTCTATCACAGGGCTACACTTAGAGACAGACAACCAAGCACACTCACATTCACACCTACGGACAATTTACAATCACCAATTAACCTCAGCATGTTTCTGGACTGTGGGAGGAAGCCGGAGAACCCGGAGAGAACCCACGCTGCACGGGGAGAACATGGAGACTCCACGCAGGAAGATCCCGGGTGTCCTCACCGGGACCTGAACCGGCGACCTTCTAGCTGTGAGGCCACGGTGCTAACCACCAAGCCACCGTGCAGCCCTCCACACA